GTCCCCGCTGTCCCCAGCCAAGCACATCGTGAAGGTTGACGGAAGAGCGGGACTCTTCAAGGGACTCACCCCCCGCCTCTGCTCCAGCGCCATCGGCACCGTCGTGCACGGCAAAGTGCTGCAGGTACCGGGGGGGACACACATACATGGGGCGGGGGGCTCTGCCACCGGGAGCTGGGGACTCATAGACCCCACGTCTCACTGCTTCGGTGCTGGCAGGGCCTTCCCTGTCCCCCGCAGCTGCACTAACCCTGCCCTTTCCTCCCCAGCGGTACCAGGAGGCCGAGCAGGCTGAGGTAGGTGTGAGGCCACTTTCCCCGGTGAATCCTCCCTCTCTCCCCCCTTTCCTCCCTCTCTCTTCTTATCCCTCTCTCCCTCTCTCCATCTCTCCTCCCTCTCTCCCTCTCTCCATCTCTCCTCCCCTCCCGTGTGCCCCCGCAGCTGCGGGCAGAGGCAGCCTGCCATCGAGTGCTGCCCCCAGGGAAAAACGCGGGGCTGAGGGGCTGCTGAGCCCACGCTGTGGGGGGACGACGAGTCCTTTCGGGGTGGTGGGGAGTGAGCGGTGCCTTTTCTGGGGGTCTGTTCCCCATCTGATGCCTCTTTCCCTCTCTAGCCTGGAGCCAGCAAGAAGGAGCCTGTGTCCTCGCTGGAGCAGGTTCTCAAGGAGGTGAGGAGGAGGAGGGTGCTGGGGTGCAAGAGGGGCTCGGTACAACACCGGCGCTGTTGGTGTCTCTACCTGCTGCGTCCCTGTCACCTGCCTCCCCGGCCCCTCCTCCTGACAGCCCATTTCTCCCCCAGACCTCCCGAGAGATGGTCGCTCGCTCTGCCGCCACACTCATCACCCACCCCTTTCACGGTAGGTGCCCCCCGCACCCCTACCACAGCTGGTGCGTGGGCCCGGTGACAGGTGTCTGTCACTCCTCTGTCACTCTGGAGTGTCCCTGTGCCCCCCCCCCGACCCCCACGCTGCCTGTCTCTGCCCGCAGTGATCACCCTGCGCTGCATGGTGCAATTCATCGGCCGGGAGACCAAGTACAGGTACGGGCAGGGGGGGCCGGGGCTGCCGCGGGGGTGGGGGGCTGCCTGCCTTCCCACGGTGTCCCCTCTGACCACAGCATTCTCCTCTTCCTCCCCGGCCCAGCGGGACGCTAAGCGCTTTCGCCACGATTTACCGAGAAGAGGGTGTCCTGGGCTTCTTTGCGTGAGTGCTGACAACCGGGGTCTCGGCGGTGGGTGGGGGCAGCAGGGGTCTCTCCCCAAAATCCACAAGCCTCGCTTGGGCATCGCTCCTCGCTTCGGCCACGGTGCTGCAGCTCTGCTCTCCCGTCTCGCTGGGCTCGAGAAGCACTCTGCCCTGACCTCGGCCATTGCTGGGGCGCACGGTTTCCCGTTCTGCCCTCCCCAGGGGGATTCCTGGCGCAGATCCGGCAAGCCCCTGCCTCATAGCAACCGGCCTTGGGTTGCGCGGGTGACATCCAGTGCCTGGGGACATTAAAACAGAGCAAAGATGTAGTAATCCTTCCCTGGGAGCACTAGCTGGGGAAGTGTTTTGGGTCCCTCTGGCAGCTCCCCTCCATGCCCGTGTCCTCTCTGAACCATTTGTTCTAACATCCCCGCTCCCGGCCCGGGGAGTTCCCCCTTCACCCGGCAGTTGGGGGGACGGCTACTCCCTCCTGTTCCCGACCGGCTGTTCCCCGGCTCTCCACGCAGCTGGATCTGGGTCTGCCCCGGGCTCACGTTCCCACTGCCTCTTCTCTTTCAGTGGCCTCATCCCCCGGCTCCTTGGGGACATCCTTTCGCTCTGGCTCTGCAACATGCTGGCCTACCTCATCAACACGTATGCGCTGGAAAATGGGGTACGGGCTCCGCGCCCTGCTCGGGAGGGCCCAGGTTGCATCTAGGGGGACAGTCCAGGGGGGCAGGACCCTGCTTTGGGGTGACAGCATGGCTCCATGGGGGTTGAAGGTGCCTTTTCTCCTCCCGCAGGTCTCAACTATGGCTGAGATGAAGAGCTACTCACAGGCAGTCACTGGAGTGAGTACAGCCCGCGCATACGTCTGTGTGTGTTGGGGGGGGTCTGTACCCCCATGTGTGACGCTGCCCCGGAGAAGGAATGCTCCGCAGAGGAAGCGCATGACCCTGCATGCCCGTGGGCTTACAACCTTGGCCTTGCCACCGTGTAGCCTGGCCCTGCATGGAGCCTGCGGGAAAGGGCTCCCTTCCCCGGGGGGGGCCCTGGGGATCTTTTAGGGCTTGTTCTCCCCATGTGGAGGGAAGCGGGGAGATCCCTGTAGGGGCCGGGGGCCACTGCTGACCAGCCCTGCTGTCCCTTGCAGTTCTTCGCCAGCATGCTGACCTACCCCTTCGTGCTGGTCTCCAACTTGATGGCTGTTAATAATTGTGGGTGAGTCTGCCACTAGTTCCTACCCCCTCAGCGAGGGCGAGCCGGCGCCCGGGGGGTGCTGGCATGGGTGACGGCCACGTCCCTCTGCGCCAGATCGGTTCCCCAAACTGCCTTTCCAAAGCTCCCAGGTGGCAAAGAGGTTTCAAACTGGCTGTGGGGTTGATCCCTCATCAGTAGCGCTGCGGTTGGGGGGGACACGTGGGGACATGTGGGGAGGGAGCCCAGCTTTGAAAGGACCATTTTGGGGTTCAGCCCAGCACAGGGCTGCAGAGGGGACGGGTCCTACCCCATCAGCTCAGCCCTGGGTGGAAATAATTCCTCGTGGGTCTTCCTTTCCCTTCCCCAGGCTGGCCGGGGGTCTCCTCCCCTACGCACCCACCTACTCCTCCTGGCTGGACTGCTGGAGCCAGCTGCACAGGGAGGTAAGTGGCCGGAGCCGGGCAGCGCCGGGATGCCACCCAGCCGTGGCAAGAACTGGGTGGGAGCCCTGCGGGGCCTGGGCGGGGACGCAGCGGGGCTTGGGGCAGCCCTGACTTACCCGACGGTGGTCGTCTTCCCCGTTCCAGGGCAACATGAGCCGAGGGAACAGCCTGTTTTTCCGCAAGGTGCCCGCAGGGAAGCGATACGTGTGGGAGGAGAGGAGGTTTCGTTGAAGTTGGAGCCGGGAGGGGAGTCGTGAAGCTGATGCTGGGCTCTGGAGGCAAAAAATGAGAGAGTGGTGATTTCTATACAGTTTTTTTTTAAATCATTTAATGCTGAGAGATGAAGGCAGATGTGTGAGGGTGTCTGTTGTGGGGCCAGGGGCTTTCTGGTGGGGGGGGCTGGCCAATCTCCAGTGTTCCTTCCCCAGTCCGACCACCCTAGCACTGTCTCTATTATTCCCAATTCTTTACCCAACCCCTTTCTGTCAGCCTGGCGCCCGCGCGGACCCCTGCTGTAGGCACAGTCAGCCAGGCTGGGTGCTGGATCGGTCCCATGAGACATCGCCACATCCGTCCTGTCCCCACGGGGACCAGCGCCTGTGTCTTGTCTTTAGCCTGAAAGCGTTGGTGTTGCCGAGGCTGCCTGGTAAATCCGCTGGCAGAAATCCTTCTCCCGCTTCCCATGGTTACGCCCTGGGAGCCTTTTCCCAGCCTTGGACCCAGTTTGAGGCTGTTTCGACAGAGGAAATTCCCCCATGAGATAATGGTGCCTGGAACCATCACCCCCTTACAAAAACCCGCTTGTTTCAAAAACCAGCTGTACAAGTGTCACAGGCGCTTGGGGAGTGACAGCCCCAACAACCCCAGGGGCTGCCCCCAGCCCGGGGGGGTGGATCAGAAGCCGTTCATTAACGGCTGGGGATAATTGTGGGGCAGCGGCGTGGGTGGTGGCAGGGCCCTGGGAGGAGCACGCTGCCTGAAGGGCTCCCCGCCTGTGCCTCAGTTTCCCCATCCTCGCTCCCTCTCGGGGCTGTAGTGGCGGGGGCAGCGATTGGATCGATCCCACCGTGGGTGTTCCCTGGGTGTTGCAGCACCCCCAGGCAAGGGGGGATACGTGGCTGGTGACAAGGGGAGGGATGGTGGCACGTGTGCACAGCTGGAGAAGGGGCTGCACAGCTGGATGAAGAGTTGCACACCCAGTGGCAGGGTTGCACAACTGGAGCAGGGCTTGCACACCCAGCAGGGGTTGTTGCATATGCAGAGCGGGGTGCAAAGCTGGTTGGTGGTTTGCACACCCGGTAGAGGGGGTTGCACACAGCAGGGGCGTTGCACGCCCGGCAGGTGAGTTTGCACACCCAAAGCGGGGGGGCTTGCACACCCAGCAACGGTGGTTGCACGCCTGGTGGTGGGGTCGCACACCCAGAAAAGGTTGTCGCCCAACCGGCAAAGG